TTTAACATTTCTTATTGAATGTAGGCCATGGGTGTCCAGAGTCGATGGAGGGCCAGTGTTCTGTTGAGTTTAGCTTCAGCTTAACTCCGCACACCTGCCAGGAAGTTTCTAGTTTATCTAGGTAAAGCTTGATTAGCTGGTTCAGGTGTGTTTGATTAGGGTTGGAGCTGAACTCTCCAAGACACTGACCCTCCAGGACCGTATTTAGACAATCCTGATATAGGCAATGTATTTTGGTGCATTTAAAGGGCACCTAGGTTACCCCTTTTTTTCAGATTTAATATAAGTCTTTTGCGTCTCTAGAATGTGTATATAAAGTTTCAGATCAAAATACCCATCAGATTTTTCATTATACCTTTTACAAGATGCTGTTTTATACTGATTTCCAGCAGGGGGTGGTTTTGTCGTACTGCGCCTTTAAGCCGAGTTCTGCCCGCCCACTGTTTCTATATGCCTTCCCACATGCTTTAATCTCCTCCCTCAGCTGCGTCAGACAACAGACAGACTTAAAGGAAGGAGGTCTCACGTAGCGTTTGTGAGAAATACTACAGTAAGAACTAACCTTTACTAATCAGTATTGTGAAGTTGCATTGATGAGTCACACACAATATCGTTACAAAGTTAACACACACACACACACACACACACACGCACACACACACATACACACGCACACAGATACACACCCACACGCAGGCAGGCAGGCAGACAGGCAGAGCGCGCTTAGCTTAATTAAGGCTAACCTCAAGTACTGTGTGGATATCTGTTATGTTAATGTACAAAATAAACCTGATTTAACTTCCACAAACCGGGATTGAAGCGTCTTCTTTTATAATTGTTCTGACACGCGGCTGTGCTGATGAAGTAAAGCTGAAGTAAAACGCTGTAATTAATTACACACATACTCTGTTTTAAAACACTTTAAACATGTAAAACTTACTTTTAATCACATTTATTGATGATTGCTGATCCTAGCGAACAGAACAGACCTTTTAATCCCGGTTGCTTTGCGTATGTCTGTCTGGTCTTGTTGACATATACACGTGATTACCGGAACATGTTAATGCGCGCAGCTGTCAATCAATTCGGTGGGCGGGGGGATCGCACACCTACGTAATGGTGCGATCGATTTGAAAACAGCTCCAATTGGCCGACCCTTTTTTTGTAGTTAAATTGAAAAAAAAGGACTGGGTGTGTTCATATCATCCTAGTATGACGGTCTATACACTATACCAACACACAGATCTGTCCAAACAGCTTGAAAAGTAGATTTTTTACCATAGGTGCCCTTTAAATAAAACAGATTTATTAAACAGATAAATTTATTAAAATAACATTTTAGTCACCAAACATATTTAGAAATTGAAAGATAATACAATTAAATTTAAGCAAAATATGGCAAAAATAAATTACAATCTACAAATTTCAACTAAATTTTTCAACTTTTTTGATTTGTTCCTCTTTTTTAAAATTTGTGTTTAATATTTTTCTATAGCATAAATTTGGGTGTACTAGTTTTTGGACCATTATCGTAAGTTATTTTGTTAGATAAGCTCCAGATTTGGCTGCAGTATTCACTAATCTAATGTATATGCACAAATATTGTATAGCTTCCTTTTAAAAAATATGAATTTAAAAGATAGATTTGTGAGGGTTGTGCTCATATATGCTGAGTACATACAGTTGAAGTCAGAGTTATTAGCCTCTCTGAATTATTAGCCCCGTTTATTTTTTTCCCCAATTTCTGTTTAATGGAGATAACTTTTGTCAATGCATTTCTAAACATAATAGTTTTAATAACTCTTCTATAATAACTGTTTTATTTTATCTTTGCCATGATGACAGTAAATAAAATTTGACTAGATAATTTTTTAAGCCCCTTTATGCAGCTTTACGTGACATTTAACGGCTTAACTAGGTTAGTTAGGTGTACTAGGCAGATTAGGGTAATTAGGCAAGTTATTGTATAATAATGGTTTGTTCTGTAGACAAATGGAAAAAAAAATTTGCCTGAAGGGGCTAATAATTTTGTCCTTAAAATGGTGTTTAGAAAATTAAAAACTGTTTTATTTTCTAATCCAGAAGAAAAAATATTATCAGACATACTGTGAAAATTTCCTTTCTCTGTTAAACATCATTTGGGGGGCTAATAAAAAAAAAATATTTAAAGGGGGGCTAATAATTCTAACTTCAACTGTATGTAAATATTTTAGAACAACCAGAAAGCAAAAAAAAAAGAAACACTTGAAATATGTAATACTCTAAAAACATTTAAATTCATCTAAATGTGCAATTTTTTATTGTTTATATCTTTCTGTGTCAGCTAAAGTTAAATTATATGAATATGTAATAAGTCTTGATATTGTGGCATTGAATTAATAAAGTGAGAAAAAACAGACTCTGATACAAAACAACAACTGTATATCACAGATTTACATCACAGTTAAAGTCAAAATTATTAGCTCATGTAAATGTTTTTTATATATATTTCCCAAATCTTAACAGAGCAAGGAATTTTTCAGTCAGTAAGTGTAGAAAACTAAAAAGTCTTATTGTTGTTATGTTTTGGATAGATAGTGAACATTAATAAACATTTTAAGGTCAAAATTATTAGCCCCTTTAAGCTATTTTCGATTGTCTACATATAAACCATCATTATACAATGATGCTTACCTACCCAAACTCACTTAGTTAACCCAATTAACCTAGTTAAGCCTTTAAATGTCACTTTAAGCTCTATATAAGTGTCTTTAAAAGTATCTAGTCAAATATTATTTACTGTCATCATGGCAAAGATAAAATAAATCAGTTATTAGAGATGAGTTATTAAAAATATTATGTTTAGAAGTGTGCTGAAAAACAACTACTTTCCATTAAACAGAAATTGGGGAAAAAATACTCCTTTGTTCTCCTTCAAGTGGTAATTGCTGTAATCTTAAACCCTGAAAAACTGTTAATCAAAGCAGTGCTTGGGACATCAGAAAGTGCCCAAGAGGATTACCCTGTCATTTGCTCATTCTCACTTGCTAAGCACTAATGAATCCACCAGTTTAGGCATGTCCTGTGATGTGACAGTGAGTGTGAGAGCTGTGAGGATTTCCTCTGATTGTTTACAGTCAGAAAAGCTTCAATTAAGCAGAAAATCAAATAGCTGATCTTTCATTGTGGCGAGTACCGGCAGACATAATAGCAAAGTCATTATGCAAACATTTCTCATAAAAGAATCAAGCGTGAATAAGTGTGTATGTGTATATGAGTGTGTAGAAAACATAATAGCTATAATGATAATTAGTAAATAGTTATGATATACAGTATATCAGGGGGTCACCGACATGGTGCCCATGGGCACCAGGTAGCCCGCCAGGTTCACATGAGTTGCCCGCGGGCCTGTTCTAAAAATAGCCCATCATAGCACCACATATGAGTAAGCTGCATCTAATATTTTTATAGGTATTATTTTTAAATCACACTTGCATTGGTGTAAATTTGAAAATTACCTCAAGTGATATATTTTATTAAAAAAAAAAAAAACTTTAAAAACAATTTCAGACAAATGTAGTGTTGCATATTGATATTTATCTAACTTGTTAAATCATTGTTGACAACTACTGTGAGAAAACATTAACATGATCAATGTCTTCACATAGATGAATATTATTAATTATTATTAATAACATATAATTAAAAGTAAATTAAGAAAAATGTGTTATTTAATAACTGGTAGCCCTTCACACTAATCGGTACCCAAGAAGTAGCTCTCAGTTTCCAAAAGGTTGGTGACCCCTGCAGTATATTATTAAAAACAATAAACAACGCCCCTGTGCCAAGGTTAAAGCTAATGTTAATGTTACATATGTAAATACACACACATACAGTTGAAGTCAGAATTATTATCCCCCCAGAATTATTAGCCCCCTGTTTATTTTCCCCCCAGTTTCTGTTTAACAGAGATTTTTTTCAACACATTTCTAAACATAATAGTTTTTATAACTCATTTCTAATAACTGATTTATTTTATCTTTGCCATAATGACAGTAAATAATATTTGACTGGATATTTTTCAAGACACTTCTATACAGTTTAAAGTGACATTTAAAGGCTTAACTAGGTTAATTACGTCAACTAGGCAGGTTAGGGTAATTAGAAAAGTCATTGTATAATGATGGTTTATTCTGTAGACTACTGAAAAAAAATATATAGTTTAAAGGGGCTAATAATTTTGACCTTAAAATGGCTTTTAAAAAAATTAAAACTGCTTTTATTCTAGCCAAAATAAAATAAATATGACTTTCTCCAGAAGAGAAAATACTATCAGACATACTGTAAAAATTGCCTGAATCTGTTAAACATCATTCGGTAAAATATTTACAAAAGAAACAAAATTTAAAGGGTGCACACACACACACACACACACACACACACACACACACACACACACACACACACACACATTTTGTGTACTATTTGCATATTCTAATAAAAAAAAGGAAAAAAAGGAGGCTGGTTTAAGCCCCGGCTGCGTCAGTTATCAATATCATGTCTGTGTGGAGTTTGCAAGTTAATGTTTAACAAAAGATGAATACTAGTTATATATTTTTCTCTTTTAGTTTGCTATTATAAATTACCACCATATTTTGGAATAAAAAGAGAAAACTGTTCAATATAAAGGAAACAGAATTGTTATTTTAGTTATCAAATATGAGGTAAAGGTATCTGTTAGTCAGGTTTAAGCCCAGTTTTTATGCATGCAATGGATTGATTGTGAGCTTATACATTTTGTTTCCTTGATTAAAAATCACAACAATGAACAAACCTGTCTTCGACAAAGCACGCCCATCAGCACACACACACACACACACACACACACACACACACACACACACACACACACACACACACACACACACACACACACAGAAAAAAACTGCCCCCAACAAAAATGTCAACACACAAACCACACCCACCAAACTCGTCCGCCCGCTTTCAATGTCGAAGAGCGCATATTAAGCCCCGCCCACCGGTTTGACTGCCCGTCCGAGAGTGACTGCGGTTGCAGAGACCGGTTCCTCCTCTACCGGACATTTATGGTTTGCCTTTGGCCGTGACGTGTAACCGGCCACCGACGATTTACATAGTCACAGGGGGATCGTCCGGTAAGTACATAGACATCATGGTGACCGCATGTAGCAGTAATGATATCCAGTCTTAAATAACACTACAGGTGTAGCTTTCCCATGACGCAACAGAAATGACGTGCAGCGAAAGCTTGTCGGTCCGGTACTGTAAGTTGATGCCAATTCAAACATGAAGGGCTTTTCCTCTTTTTTTTTTTGAGAGAGAGAGAGAGTCGCGGTGATTATTCGGTAGGTTTGAACATAATGGCTGTGTCTCTGCAGCAAGTGAGCAGCCTAAATAGACAGCACAGCGGTTTCAGTCCATTATAGGCGCCTGGTCACTCAGAGCGAGCCGAAAATGCAGCCTGGATAGGCAGCACAGCAGGTCTCGAATCGAGACAGCCCACATTCTGGACATGACGATAGCCTGTTTACCCCGTGCACAATAAGTGCACGAGTGGGTACTCTTATTCTTAAAGGGACAGACAAAAAAAAAAAAAAAAAAAAGACCACTGGTCTCTTATTTACCCCTCATTCTGCAGTATGACTTAAGTTCTCATGTGGAATACAAAACAATAGGCATTGTTTTTAACAATTGTCATTAACAATTGACAGATTCGCCTTATTGGCAATAGTATGGAGTTACATTTGTGCCAAAAATAATTCAACTTTTTGTTTTGCTCTATACTCTATTCTGTTCTACAGTCACTTTTAAGATAAATTAGAATATATTAATATGTATGCTCTCTGTTTACGTTCAGTTGCTCAGCTCAGCTTTGTCATCTTTACTGTCTTCCATAAGTTCATATAGTAATCCTTCCAGTCTTGTTCTGGCTTTCGTGGAAGTGTTTAGGTGTAATATGTAAGCATGTCTAATTTGAAAGCATGCCATAAATGCACAGAAAAAAAAAGAAAGTCATATCTACCGGTAAAGTACACATCATCATATACTTCATGTCAGATTGAGAGAAAATGGACTATGCAAAGCTGCTCGGTTTACAGTGGCAACTTTGGAAACCACTTAATTTTTTTCAATTATACGATATTCAAATTTTGATTAATATTTAAAATTTTAAAATTTTATTTTTAAAATAATATTTTAGAAAAGATTTTATTTTGTTAAAAGAGTACAGATTTGAGAAAAAAATTAAGGGCTCTTGTTCTATGACAGCAAATCAATACCAAAATTAATTGAGCGCAGCGGTGATGTTTATGCGCAAGGAGAACTGAACCGCGAGCAGATTACCGGCCTACACGCGAGGAAACTACAGTTTATCATCATCTGTGTGCATGATGTGCGCTCTCGCGAGCGATGTCATGCCTACAGCGCACGTGCGATTAGTTCTCTCCGCTCACTTGCTGGTTCTTCTCTCTGCTTGCGTGAAACATTTCAAATTTTTGTCAGTCCTGGGGCAGGACTTGGTTTACTTGTTATCCCTAAAGCGCCTTTCCACTGCACACGACATTTGGACACGACTGTCGAAGTACGCCCCCTTGTGGCAGTCGCAAAGTATTTTCAGTGTTGTTGTGCACCAAGGGAGAGAAGCTGATTCTTGCAGTGTCCGAAATAAAGGAGTGCAAAAGCAAGAGCCATAATTCTCTGTGTGTTTACATGGTTTCAAGAGTTCACACTTAGCTGATTATTGATTGGCATGCTATCCCTGAGCTCATGAGATCCTCGAGCCTGGGGCTCCCTCCCATTGCAAGGCAGGAGGGGAGTTTGAGCTCAGGTAGATCTCGATTACTCCAATGCTGTAGTAACTAATGAACAGTAAGTGATTGCTCTTTGGAGATAACTACATACTAGAAGCATGTCTATGGTGCCGATTTGGATTAGTCAATTAACTTAATTTGCATGTTTTTGGACAGTGGTAGGAAACCGGGGAACCCGGGGGAAACCCACGTGAGCATGGATATAGCAGCATATAGCCTGCGCCATAGCATACGCGTGTGCTTGACGCAAAAGTATAAATCAGGCTTTACAAAGCAGTTGATTCATTTTTGGCACAATTTATACCTCATACAGTAGAAGTAAATGGACATTAAAGTTGTCCTTTTGGGTTCTGAATAACATTAAAGTGACAAATGGTTCATCTTGTATAACAAATATTTTTAATAGAAATTTATCATATTTCCCATTAGTTTTTCTTCTAATAGTGTCCCACTGCACAATACTCAGCAGTCAGTGTGCTTGATATGATTTATTTTAGGTGGCAGATTTTTGTTCCATTTTGGTGTGCCCTGTTACTCATATGGGTGAAAGGTGAACACCTCCACCTCTTTTTGTTTATTAGGCAGGGTGTGATTTTTTTTTTAAGTGCGTCATCACATCATGTACACTACTTAAGATGTTAAAATTGTTCTAGACTTACATAATGTTAGAACGACTTGCATTTCTGTCTCACACCTTCACACAGCGTAGTGAATGAGGGAGGTGAAAGACGATAGTGGGCCTGTGATAATGTCTACAGACAGAGAGCCTCCCGTCACCGCTAAACTCCTTCACCTCATGTTTCTCTCCACCTACTGGGGAATGCAGATATGGGTCACCTTCATATCAGGTGGGTTAGCTCGCTTTTGTTTGTTTGTTTGTGGTTATTTCTTGATTGATAGAATGTTTGAAGTGCACTTTTACAAGTATAATTTTACAGCTGTACTTATGATAAGATGAGCGAATGATGATAAGATAAAGCATTAAAAAAGTAATTAAAAATTAAAATCTACTGTTAATTAACTTTGTCTCAGGCCAGCCAAAATGTTAGTGGCTTTCATTTACTGTAGGTCATTAAAGAAGAGCTTTTGCTGAAACTATTGTTATTGGTGATTCATAAACTGCAAGTAAGATGAATTTTTAGTTCAGTATATGTGGAAAAAATGAAAGAAATACCTTTAATCTTAATGTTAATGTTACATTTCTGTTGTAAATAAGCAGCATTGTCTCATGTGTGAGTTTGTGTTTTGATTCACAAACCTCATCAGGATAATCCGAAGCCAAAGTTATCAATTTTGTTTTGCCTGTATCATCAACATCATTATTATTATTTTGACTGTCCAATTTCACATTTCCTTTGTGGATCAGATTTAGCTGAACAGTTTTCATAATGTTTTACTGAAGAGAAAAAGTCACATGCATCTTGGATGGCCTGAGGGTGAATAAATAAACAACTGATTTGTGTTTATGGTTGAACTTTTTAAAAGTGCACCATCGGATTAATAATTTAGCTTAAAAGTACACTTAAAGAATTAGCATTTGATTGTTTTGTATTTTGATAAACATACTAAAGCACAAATAAAGTACTTCATTGTTTATGTCATGGGCCTAATATTTAACAGTAGTGCTGTTTGATATTAGGCCTATTTTTAAAGTTACCATATTTTAAATTGCAAATGTGTAAACCTGATATTTTTCATAAATGTTTGTCATTACGTTTATTATGACCGTACATTACATCACCTTTTCAAATAAAAAAGAAGTTTATATCAAAAATTACAAATGAAACTGTACTTATATTCCAACTAACTACACTTAAATACCTTTAAACCCAAGCAATTAAGTTTTTAAATGTATCCTCCTCAGTAGCCGTTTTATTAGAATTATTAGCCCCCTGTTTATTTTTTCCCCTCAATTTCTGTTTAATGGAGAGAAGATTTTTTCACCCCATTTGTAAACATAATAGTTTTTTTCCTTACATTGTTTATACATATATACATGCATATATACAGTTGAAGTCAGATTTATTTGCCCTCTTCGATTTTTTTTTCTTCTTTTTTAAATATTTTCCAAATGATGTTTAACAGAGATGTTTGACACAGTGTGTCTGATAATATTTTTTCTTCTGGAGAAAGTCTTATTTGTTTTATTTCGGCTAGAGTAAAATCTGTTTTGAGTTTTTTATGAACCATTTTAGGGACAAAATTATTAGCTCCTTTAAGCTATATTTTTTCTCGATAATCTACAGAACAAACCACTGTTATACAATAACTTGCCTAATTCCCCTAACCTGCCTAGTTAACCTAATTAACCTAGTTAAGCCTTTAAATGTCACTTTAAGCTGTATAGAAGTGTCTTGAAAAATATCTAGTAAAATATTATTTACAGTCATCATGGTAAAGATAAAATAAATCGGTTATTAGAAATGAGTTATTAAAATTATTATGTTTAGAAATGTGTTGAAAAAATCTCCTGTCTGTTAAACAGAAATTAGGGAAAAAATAAACAAGCGGTCTAATAATTTAGGGGGGCTAATAATTCTGACTTCAACTGTATATATATATAAACCCACTTCAACAAACCCTAAATACACTACCTAAAGAAAGATAGTTTAAAGAAAGTATTAATAAAAACCGTAATAATAGAAAAAACTGCAACATTTCAACAAATAAAAGAAGAAAAATAAAATAAATAAATAAAATAATTAATGCATAAATAAATAGAGTGACATCAGTAATGGGTGATATGATCAGGGATAATGCTGTGCTGTCTTACAATGGTAGGTTAAAATAGGAGAAGCTTGAGGTTCTGGACACAGAAAGAAAAGACAAAATAATTACAGAAAAAAGATTTCAGTTACATACAAGACAGTCACATTATTCCCCAGGAAGTACACTAAACATAATACATTTATTAACTCATTTTTAATAACTGATTTCTTTTATCTTCGCTATGATGACAGCACATAATATTTGACTAGATATTTTTCAAGACTCTTCTATACAGCTTAAAGTGACAATTATTGGCTTAACTAGGTTCATTAAGTTAACTAGGCAGGTTAGGGTAAATAGGCAAGTTATTGTATAATGATGATTTGTTCTGTAGCCTATCGAAAAAACATATAGCTTAAGGAGGCTAATAATTTGTACATTAAAATAGTTTTAAAAAATTTAAAACTGCTTTTATTCTAGCCGAAATAAAACAAATAAGACTTTCTCCAGAAGAAAAATATTATCAGACATACTGTGACAATTTCCTAAATCTGTTAAACATCATTTGGGAAATATAAAAAAAAAATAATAATAAATTTAAGGGGGGAGGGTAATAATTCTGACTTCAACTAATGCTAAATGTAAAATGTCAGATGTCTCTGTGAGTGTGCTGCAAATGAAATTTCCCTACGGGGACAAAGGAAGTTAACTAACTAAACTAAAATGCATTTTCATTACATTGTAAACATATGTACAATTATAGACATTTTTACACAAGTATATTCTTTGAAATGACATTTAAAAAGTATGCTAAACTGCACTTCTATGTAATTTTAGCATCATTTTCAGAATTAAATTCTTAAGTTTTACTTATTGTTTTGTTTTGTTCAGGCTTTGTGATGGACAACCATCTAAACCGACACACATTTGGCTTCATTCAAAGCCGGCTTTTCCCGTTTTACCTGCATATCGGCTCAGCCTGCGCTTTCTTCAACCTCACCATCTTTGCCATGTACCATCCCAGCAACATGCTGGATGACAAAGAGGCCTTCCAGGTGTTTTTACCATGACTTTACTCTAAAGAAAGCCTATATTTGGAGAACTAATGCTTATATTCAGTAACAAGAATTGAAAATCTTTTTTTTTTTTTTGACCAATTATAATTATCTGCAAAATAAAATTATAAATGCCAATTTATATACTCGAAATTTGCAAGAAATTCTACAAGACCTTAATACTGTAAATTAGAACACATACTAATTATTTACTCTAAGCCTTACTGGGTCGAACTTGAGATCCGAATCAGTCTGATTCATTAGCAAATTACTTGGTTTGGGATAGGGCTGCATGATATTGGAAAATTCTGGCATTGCGATATTTTGTTTCGCTGCAATATATAGAGCTATGAAAACAATTTCACCAGATGGCTTGAATAGCTCTATTTGTGAAAAATCATTCATTTAGACTGGTTGGGTTGGTTTTGTAAAGGTGTGAGCCATTTATAAAAAAAAAAGTGCTGTCCATCGATAAAAAAAGTTTGACTAATTAATCGCACTCTTTTTTTGCAATTAATCGTGATTAATCACATTTAAAAAACTGAAACTTGCAATTTTGGCCGTTCAAATGTAAAATTAATGTAAACGCAAGACAAAAACTATTTCAATTCAAAATATAATTGTTTATTAGAATTTTTGTTTAACTTGTAACACAGATTTCTTCATGTAAACAACATACCCACAATAAACCATCAAGATCCTGGCTTGACAGCCATATTTATTACAGAAATAAAAAACGCAAGCATGTTAATGCCATTTAAATTTCAAAACAATCAATGCCAATAAAGAAAAAAATGATTTCCATGTTGGATTCTAAGTGGACTGAAAAGAAGGCAAAATATAGGCATTGCAGATATGGAAATTGGAAAATTATAATAACAATAAAGTATTGAATACAAACAATTGCACTCATTGAAAAGTTGTATTGCTGATAGTTGAGAACATTAATCATAAAGTAGAAACAATTTTGCTCAGTCCTCATTTGCATTCAGCCAGTTGCTAAGACATTCCAGTCTGTTGACATTATCGGGGGACAATGTGGACCTTTTCTTTTGAATGATGTGAGCTGAGAGTGAGAACAGTCTCACAAGCAGGATCACTGAATCAGCATAAGCATTCCGGTGCCTAATTTTGTTGCCACTGGTGCTGCGATGAGGATGTAAGAAGCTTCAAGCGTTACATCAAAGGCACCCACAGGTACGCGTTGAGTCACACTAAAGGCTTATTCTTACAGGGACTTTGGTCACACCATCTCTAAACATTTAAACAACTTTGAGGGATACGGACAACAATGTTTAGGTATTTGTTCTTGTTGCTAGGCACACACACACACACGCTCGCAGGACAGCCGGAGCGACTCCCTTCAGATTCATCAGGCATGATTGTGTTCATCAAATTTGCTTAAACTAAGCATTCTAAAGTATGGCTGTAGCCTGTTTCACAAGGATTCTGACACAACAATGTGAAGCAGACGCTTTACAATAGTTGCGTTTAAGGGGGAACGTTTGAGGGCTCATGATGAAAGACAGAGGAATGCACTCGCATTCAGCTCGCGACTTCATCTAGCACTTTCTGAGTACATTTACATGGACACCAATACTCCGATTTTAATGTTTAAAATAATACTATTCAATTCCAATAAAAAAAAAGTCGAAAGATTAAAAAAGAAACTCTGGAGGAAACGCTGGATAAGTAATGTGACATTAATTGTTTTATAATGAAACTTGCCTTCAAAAAGTGCTTAATTTGTCTTATCCATATTTCTTTGCATGTTGAACACACGTCGACAACAACAGGAAAAACCTACAACTGCGTTAATTGCGTTAATTTTTTAAAATCGATAATTTTTTTTTAATTAATCGCATGCGTTAACGCACTAATTTTGACAGCTCTAATAGAAAATAAAATTAAAGGAATAATTACAATTGAGCAAAGAAAAAGTAAATAAACAGTTCTTCATAGTTTTCCGGAGAGTCAAACAGTATTCAAATACAAAAATGTAGTCATGTAAAAAACACAGTATAGTCTTCATTGTGTTAATAAATCAGTAATGTTTTCCTTATTAAAGTTACAAATGTTTTACGTTATTGTGCCCAAATGCTTCACACTTTCTTGAAATGCTTTTAAAACATGCAAATGATGTTCACCCTGTTATGGTTATACGTTGCGATGACTCTACAAATCTATTTAACTGTTCATTGACCATAATCCCAATTTAACATTGCATATCCTGCGATGTGACGTTTGCGGACACATACATTGCGTTATCAATGCCGAAACAGTATATTGTGCAGCCCTCGTTTGTGAAGTGGATTTACTGATCAAAATCAAATCAAAAGAAAAATGTCCATTTATTCAGTTGACTTTATCACACAAAATTGTTACCATTACAATAATGTGCATTCTTCTGAAGCCATGTAAATATTTTAAGAGAAATGTGATGCTTCCAAACTCCAGTCCCATTAATTGTAATTGTAGGGAAATCAGCGGCCAACATTTTTTAAAATTTCTTCTTTTTTTGTAAATAATAAAAAAAATAAACGTTAAATAGATTTGAAAATGCTTTAAACCCTTATTCAAAGTTACAACCAGTCTTTTAATTTCCAGCATATCTCTGGTTTTTCTCTCTAGATCTTAATTTTTTTCGTCTGTGTGACCGTGGCGGCAGTGAATGCCCAGTGGTTTGGTCAGATGACCTCTGAGATCATGGCCGACATGCATCTGATTGAGCAGGCCTGTGGATTGGGTCAGGACATTGGACTCTCGTCCAATCGAGAAGCTTACGCCAAACTTTGCGAGACAGACCCGAAGTATAAAAAGCTGAGCGCTCGACTGTGGCTTTACCACCTGCTATCCTCGCTCTGTAACCTCTGCTGCATCATCTGCAATGGATACAGCCTTTATTACCTGGCAGAAAACCTCACCACGCTCTGATGGCCTTCATGATACATGCTGGAGTTGTGCTCCCACAATGCAATGCAAAACCCTCGGTTAGTGTCTGTGTGAAGACCTGCACTCAGGTACTGAATTACCTCCATCGGTGTCTTTTGTATTTATCTCAGTTGTGTTTCTTTTAGCCTGGATATTTGATGTACGGGGGTGTGCGATATTTATTGTCTGTGAGCATATTGTTGGGTTAACGATGTGTGAGACAAAACAATATATATTTTAGTGTCACTATTATTAAAAAACCCCACAAGTAAACAAATTGTGCAATAAAAGCACTTATTGTGTCATTTGAATGTAGTCATGAAAGGAAAAAAACTTTCCTTGTGTGAGTTTTTGTTTTGCTAACACTTTAGATCATAGGTCCGCAGATTTGCAGAGTTTTGCTCCAACCCTAATCAAACTCAGCTGATCCAACTAATCAAGATGTTCAAGACTACTAGAGAGTATTAAGCAGGTGTGATTTGGAGGTGGTTGGAGCTAAACTGTGCAGAGCTGTGGCTCTTCAGGAATTGAGTTTGAGAACATTGCTTTATAAAAAGGATGCCCAAACTTTTTGTTATGAAGGGCCAAAATCCAAACTTAATTGAAGGTGGTGGGCCGAAGCTAAATATACGAAACTGTATTACATTAAAGTTGCAAGAGTAACTTCCTAGTTTAATAATATTAAAAAATAATCGTATATATATATATATATATATATATATATATATAAAGGGCTTTAAATTAACACCCGCCAACCTGCCAAATGCGGGTAGATTTCAGCTTTGGCGGGTTAGACAGATAGTCCCACTAGCCACTTTGGCAGGTTGGAAATAATTTTTACATTGTAGTTTTCTTAAAGCAGGGTTCGACAATAAGGATTGCCTAATATGCGTGCAAATGTGATCTTAGATTCGAGAAGCAGCACGACTGAAAACAATATTGTAACTGTGTTCGCGCGAGACAAAGCAGGTGAATACCGTTTGAGAGTAGGCTCGTTTGAGGTGCGCCTCGCCTTGACTGCATTGTAAACGAGAGCAGGCGTGCGCAGTAAGAGGAGGGCTCAAAAATTACATCAGAAGTCGGACACCTGCCGAATCTCGCTGTTTAGCCACCTGGAAACGTCACCAGTGGCGGAGATCTCGTACGCGTTTTTTATCGCAGACGAATGACCTCATGAAAAAATACTATGGTGATTTATAGTAAATATTACTGCATTTTTTAACATGTTTATTCAGTATTGTGTTGTGTTTATAGTTGTTGTGATATCAGAAATATAAAATTTAAATAGGCTATTTTATAACATGGTTCAAAAGCACTACAGTATACATTACTATAGTATTTTTAATGTGGGAGTGGATGCAATAGAAATATCACTGTTTTTACAGAGATGGTCAGAATTACAGAAGATGAACAGCTCATTAACTAAAAGGGTGTATTAAAAATATAATTCTGTATATTCAACAAACGTTAAAAGAATAACAAAATAAACAGCGTATACAGCAAGAAAACTTTCAAGAAACCTAATTTGGCTACAATATAAATGAAGGAGCTATAGCAAGATGCTTTTGAGTGACAAGTCATGACAAATGTTTGTTTGACAAATAAATTCTTAGGGGGTTAATTATATTGACAAGCTTATTAGGTCTATATAAACTGCTTTTACTCCAGCCAGACTAAAATAAATAGCCCAATACTTTCTCCAGAATAAAAACTATTAGACTGTAGGAAAAACTGTGGAAATGTTCTTGGTCTATTAAACATGACTTTTGACTCCACATACATATACATATGTGTGTGTGTGTGTGTGTGTGTGTGTGTGTGTGTGTGTGTGTGTGTGTGTGTGTGTGTGTGTGTGTGTGTGTGTGTCTTGTTTACTACACCCTTTTCACTTCTCATATGAAACTACACAAAGATGAGGCATAATGACAAAACAGTCTGATTACCTTTGTATGTCTGAATATATGTATATATTGGATTGACTTTCATTGAATAACGCTGCATAAAAATTACAATACAAAATTCACACAAACATACAAAAAGTGAAAATGACAACAAACAGGACTTAAAACTGAGAGAGAAATAAAATACAGCACACACACATCCTAATGATTTATTAATAACATTTAGTTATATTGGATAGGTCACGTTATGTTTTACAAAGATGTGTTTTGTTTTTGTTTGTGTGTAAATCTAAATAAATAGCCATATGTAATGCTCTTTATGACTTTTTTTTAATTATCAACGAAAATACAAAAAAGGTATTCAACAAATCCAGGTATAAACCTTAGTAAAACAAGATAATAAAGTGTAGTGTCAGTCTCATCCAATCAGCATTAAGCTGTGTCGTCAGCCAGTCGTTTCCCATCATGCTTTTGGTAGCGCAGTCTTTTGAGAGCAACTGCGGCCGACTGCTCTATCCGAGGTACCCGCCTCGCGATCGCGAGAGTTTTTTGGCGCACGTCAGTGTGACATCAGAGCGAGGCGAAGGCAAGGCGGACACATTTCTAACCGGCATGCATCTTGCGGTGATCACCGGTGATCGATTCTGCGCAGATTTTGGCCAAGTCAAACGAGCCTAGTATTTGATTACTCGTGCGCGTGACTGTTGAAAAGCGCGCGTGCTCCCGTTTACTTGCGCCTTTTTTTCCGTTTACTTACGATCGGTTCTATTTGAAAAGACTAGACAAAAAAATGATGCTCATGTACCCACAGTCCTGCTGCTTTTACGAGCTTAAGATTGAAAAATATATATATATATTTGTAAGCAACAGCAGCAGTCACTGCTTTCGTTTTAATTATTTTCAGGCATGAGAACATCCTTTCATTATCACTCGTGGTATTTTTTTACCTGCTTTCTTTTGCTTAAGCTTATTTTTGTTAATATAGTTTAATTATCATCCTCTACAATAACATTTCTTTAATATGAGATTAACTCCCCATTTATGTGTAGTAAACGCTGATCTTGGACCTTTAGCCAGGACAGATTACTATGCATAGCTTAGATGCATGACAATAGATCTTCTTAAATGTTAAATAAAAAAAAAATGTAAAAAAAAGTTTTGTTGAAAAAAGTGCATGTATACAGCTATATATTTGCTTGTTTTGACACATTTAAATATGTGGTTAAGAAATAATTATTTCTTTTTTGTTAGAGATGCATTTGGTAAAACCTTTATTCTGAGCCCTAAAAAGTCATGTGGAATAAAAACCAATTGCAATGCGACACAACCCATTTGCTCATGGACAGTGAGCAAGCTCATACACAACACACACAAACAGTGGAATAAATGAGGAGGCATGTGGACAACACAACATCTAAATCAAGTCATTTTAGCATGTCAAAGTCACATTTATTAATATAAAATATATTTTCCAAACAACAAAATTCTGGCTAGTGAAAATGGCAAGTGGCTAGTAATGTTGGAAATCCACTAGCCACAGTGGCTGGTGATAAAAAAAAAGTTAATGTAAAGCCCTGTATATATATATATATATATATATATATATATATATATATATATATATATATATAGATATATATATATATATATACATACATACATACATACATACATACATACATACATACATATATATATATATATAGATATATATATATATATATATATAAACAATCTCATTCATAACACAAAATATGACCCCATATGGTTTAATGACCCTTTAAAAATCTGATTAATTTAATTAAAACTTTTAATTTCAGTTTGCTTTTTTGTAGCTTAGCATGTATGTATGTATGTATGTATGTATGTATGTATGTATATATATATATATACACACACACACACATATATATATATATATACACACACACACACACATATATATATATATATATATATATATATATATATATATATATATATACATATATATATATATATATATATATATATATATACATACATATATATATATATATATATATATATATATATATATATATATATATATAAACAATCTCATTCATAACACAAAATATGACCCCATATGGTTTAATGACCCTTTAAAAATCTGATTAATTTAATTAAAACTTTTAATTTCAGTTTGCTTTTTTGTAGCTTAGCATTTAAACAAACAAACAAAAAGTTATATAAAATTAGAAATAATCTCTGTTTGAGGGATTCGCAAACCTTCCCCACTATTTGTCCATCTCTGATTGATTGGTGGGCCAAATCAAAGGTTACCATTGGCCAACTTTGACCCGTGGACCCATAGTTTGGGCCTCTCTGCATTAGAACAATTGTCCATTAGTTAAAGGTGCAGTAGGTGATCTGCCAAAATGCTAATCGGTCAGCATATTAGCTTTGGACGGCAGGGGAGGGACTGTGTTTCAAAGCCACGCCTCCTGAAATCGCGAACGCGCACTACTTGCCGCGACACGACAGCAGACAACCCACTAGTTCATGTCATTCGCCAGTAAGAAGTGTATGTAGTGGTTGGCCCGGCGGCGTGCAGGAATTTCACTTATTACTAAGCCACACTTACATGCTATTTCATAGCGAATATTCAGAGTAGCAAGGTAAACATTATCGGTCACAGGCTGTCATTGCTCAGAAATGACCCAATGTGAATATAAATGCAACTTTAGCTCAGTGTAGCAGGCTAGGCGGAATAACGCTATTTACTGATGTTTTGTTGTTAAACTAAATATAAATCCACATTATCGATGCTGTAAACAGCCTTATGAAACTGAAAATAGTCACACCAATCTATCACTGGGGGATTTCAGTGGCTCCGGGTGCACCGGTTTCCCCCACAAGTCTAAAGACATGTGGTACAGGTAATGGGGTAAACTAAAATAGTTTGTAGTGTATGTGTGTGAATGAGTGTGTGTGGATGTTTTCCAGTGATGGGTTGCGGCTGGAAGGGTATCCACTGTGTAAAATATATGCTGGATAAGTTGGCGGTTCATTCCGTGGTGGCAACCCCAGATTAATAAAGGGACTAAGCCAAAATAAAAATGAATGAATGAATGAATGAATGAATGAATGAATGAATGAAGGTCTAAACCAGCCAAGGTACCAGCACACTTCGCAAAACATAATGTAGTATTTAAAAATTTAAGAATTATTTTGTGGTTATCGCACACCCCTATAATGTATTATACGGAGAATATTTTTTGTTTATGTTATATATGTAATGAAGGTTCTAATTTAAATTGGAAGATGTTACATTTTGCATGTATGATGTTATGCTTTGCATGGTCGAGGCAGGAAAAAACAAAACGAACCAACAAACTAACAAAAAGTTGCGCAAACTGAAATGAACAAAATTAGAATGTTTAATTTATAAAG